CACCGGGTCTTCAGGCCGCCCGCAGATCAATTGAACGAGGAGCGCCTTTCACTGGTTTTGTTTAACAGCTCCATTGGGGATTTGCATATGGCCCCTGCACAAGGTGAGTAAACGGCAACTCAAGGCAGATATCACTGGGAAGCAAGCCAGGCTAATGATTCTCGTCAGACTCAAAACTTATTCAACGAGAAGGTTGCATCGAGGAGCAAGGTGTCTACAAGGAATTCAAGAAACTCACGTCACAAGGCAAACTTGTGCCCACCAACCGCCAATGGCGCGAAATTCAGATCGCTACGTGTACAGACCCGACGGATACGGTGCATAACAGAGTTGGTGCGCATCAAGTGGTCATTGACGGCAAGGTCATGCATCAGCGGGAGTACATGGGTGTCAAAGTTGTCCTGCCTGTATGAAGGGCTAAATATCGAGGAGTGAAAGAATATATAAGCTCACGCAGCAAAGTGAGCACTTGTGCAATTGTTTTGAAATTACGAAGTTTTATACAATAAATCGTTCATATTTGAGCTTCAGGCTTCGATAGCTTTGTTTATATTTTTGTCCATGCATAGTTCTTGGAGCCCTAGAATACTACCCTGACAATCAGAGTTATCTAGTGATGTTTCTCTTTATGTGCATTTTTGTTGCCTTTTTGACACTACTACCCAAGATGTAACGATTGTCTTGACCCTTGAATGGTCAATTGTTCAAATTTGTATGAAACTGGCACGGAGTCCATTGAACCAGGTATTTGTGTATAGCTTGTATGCAGCTGTCACCTCGTGCATTTCCTAGGTGTGGTAGTACTAGTAGTAACGAGGCGTGTTCCTAATGAACGTTAGGGCTTGGGGTGCAATTACCACTAACGACACAGCACCTTACCTTTCTGGCACAAGTCACTAGGCTGTATTCGGACTAGTGTACGAGGATTTAGCAGAGAAGAGAATTGTGTGGGGGCAAATCGGGAATTTTGCACGACGGAATGCGCCCACAAAAGTTAAGTCTAACCTCCAAACCCCCACTCGTATCAATCATTTATCTGTCAATCAACTACAGATAATCATGGCCAAGTCCAAAGCCGCCAAGCGCAAGCGCAATGCGCAAGTTGACCTTCCACAAAAAGCGCCAAAGGCTGCTGCTACACTGACACCGCCTCCCGATGGCGAGCCCAAGCACCTCAAAACGATCGTCCCCGACGAGGATCTCGAGATCACCATCGAGACGCTCACGGCTCTCGCACAATACCCGAGCCTGACCAAGTCGAAGGCATGCAAGGACCTGCGGGCTGCAGTCTATGACTTCCGCCAGGCCTGCACTACGGGGGTCAACGCTGCTGGTACGCTGCTGCGTTGTCAACTAATTGATAGCAGCAGCTAATCGTTCGATAGAGGGCGCAAACTTGACAGCACGCATCACCGGTGCTCTGGCCGACGAGAAATATATCGACGCCAAGATCCTGCTCGCTGAGATGAGAATTCGGGGTGAGCAACCAAAGATCGGAGCCTTGTGTCGCTGGGTGCGGGATCTAGACGTCGTCAGCGGTCTCTCAACGCAACCCGATGCAATCGATCGTGTCCCGCTGGAGCGCAGCGCAAAGGACCTGGAACTTCTTGCTGTTCTCGATGCCATCCTGCGTGTCAGCACCCCGATCGACTCCAGCCCGAAAGCGGTCGACTCCACCTCTCCCATCGCCTTCCAGTCCATCTGGGACCTCCGCCCCTCGACGGCACCACTCCCCGTCTACGCCTCCGTCCTTGATAAATCTATTCTGGCTGACGCGCCGAAGTCACCATCCGCGCTCCGCGTCATCGAAACAACCCCCGGCCCACTCCGCAAACCTCCGAATCACCATCCCGCCATCCTCTACACCTCCGCCCCGAACGCCGTCCCGCTAGCTCCCGTCGGCCCAACCATAACATACCACCCACACCCCGCGGTGCCAGGCCTTGGCCTCGCCCTAAATGTGCTCTCCGCCGCCGAGTGCAAAGCAATCATCGCGGCAGGAGAATCCGTCAATTTCCTACCGGATGCGCCCCTCCGCGAAGATGGCGACATAAGTATCCTCGCACACAACTTCTACTGGGTAGTCGACACCACTTTCCACGACATGCTCTGGGCGCGCATCTCCCGCTACGTACCGCAGTCGATCAACGGGCGCCCCGCCCGAGGTATCAATCGACGCTTCCGCGTATACCGGTACGTTCCCGGCGCCGAGTACCGGTGCCACATTGACGGAGCCTGGCCGCCATCCGGCATCCTCCCCGACGACACGTACGTGTACGACGCCTCGCCGGAGGACAAGAGGCAGAGCTCTATGTATACCTTCCTACTATATCTAAACGATGAGTTCGAGGGCGGCGAGACGACTTTCTTCATGCCCGCTGCGCGGGAGGGAACCCTCAATGCGTACCCCGTGCGACCTGTCATGGGAGCCGTTGCGATTTTCCCGCATGGAGAGGCCAATGGGGCCTTGTTACATGAGGGCACTGGGGTAAGGAAGGGTGCGAAGTATATTATCCGGACTGACGTAGAGTATGATGTTAAGCCTTGCGAAGAGTAATCATGAACATTGGCAGAGTCGTTTTTGTATAAAAGTTGTGGAGACTTTGGCGAGCGCTAGGCCTTATTAGGTATGATTTTCCCCGATCGCTATTTTGCCGACACCTCGGCATCGCTCAACCGGTCACGCATATTCCCTTTATTTCCACTCGGGGTTGGATAGACTCTATTACTTAGAGCGACTTGGAATCGCTTTGATTATTCGGCCAACTAATAATAGGCTGCATGACGCGTCGTTCAAGCAGTGGAGTTGAGCAATTCAACGAATGAATATATCCCTTTATCTAGACAAATAGGAATCAGCCATGATTTAGTAGACGATTCATCACAAGATTACTTCCTTGACATTATCTGACAGAGATTTATCCTTGCGAGACCATTTCGGGAACAACGAGCACAACCTGAACAACAACAACAACAGCAACAAAAGAGTCAAGTACTCCAGGATGACCAGGTAAGAAGGAGGAGCAATCTACAACTATCAACCCTTCCAAACAAAGGAGCCAGTTACAGACTCCCAAAATAGCGCCGCACTCGCCGGATCAGCCCGGTACTCCATGGAATTCGCAGCGGCGCCCCAATCCAAATCGGCCCCCTCATCATTCCAGCAAACAGAGAATTGACCCTCGTCCAGAAATACCCTCAGACCTATATCGCGCCCCTCATTCAGCACATCCGGCCACTCGTAATAGACCTCCGTTGTCCATGCGTTATTCACCACCTGGTTATATGTTATCGCTGTCTTGTTTCGATAGATTCCGATGCGCAGGCAGCAGCGGTCGCCTTCAAAGAAGTCGAACCAGCATCGGTCTTTTGCAAGGCCTAATTTGGAGGTCGGGTAGTTCTGGAGGATGACGCCAGCGAAACTCTGGTTTTCGACGATTGCTCCGGGGAATGCGAACCAGCCTGAGTGTATGTTAATGGTTTCATGTTGACGTTGCCATCCATCGCTGTGAGTTGGGTTAGCTGGAGAAAACCATGTGCAATGGTAGCAGTGCAAGGGGGGGCCGGAGGTGGTACTCCGATGATCGATATCGACTCGGTATTGGGCCTTGAGGGATTGGACTTTCTCTGGGCTTAATCGCTTGCCTTCCCTAGTTTTGGGGTTCTCAGGGTATGGCGGGATAATGAGACGCTCCCTGGTATCGGCCATATTGTGTGATTGACGAGACAGGATATTCGTCCAGTTCCGGGGTGGTTTGCAGCGGGAAATTCTGTTTTCTAGGAACGAGAATTCACCTGGTCTTTATAGACGGGGATTCAGCGCTGGTGGCCATCCTCTCTGTCAAGATATCGGTCGTGAGGTAGATCAATACCAAAAGGATTATCCTACATCATGGAGTCAGACGACCGGATTAAGGAGCTATCATTCCAGTGCCTCCGATTCGCAAAGGAAAAAAAGAAAGAAAAGGGTTCACCTATAATATACGCTGGAGCGCATAGCGCTGGGAAGAGTCTATAGAGAGGTGGGGTAGGGTATTTATGCATTGTTTTCGGCATGATTGCATGTACAGTACTTTTGGGAACTATCCAGGCAGGTATGAGACGGCCGTAGTTACAGTACGCTCTTTATAAGCAAGAGACCATTCATTAATCAGTTAGTTAGTTCTACGGCTTTCTAAAAGTATGTAAGCAGTCACTAGCTAGTTAAGAACTTGCTCATCACAGCTAAGCTTGCCCCGCATCGCGAGTATCATGGGCGAAAACATTAGTCATACCTGCAGCGTCCGTGCGAGACTTGAGCAGAATCCATTCTAGCTTGGATTTTGGATCCAATTCTCTAATCTATTATGGATTTTTTGCCGCAGTATGTACCTTTCTATCCTAGAGACTTACCCACAGATAGTGGTTTCCTTTTCTCACAACTCATAGACAGCCCATAATACCGATTACTAGCCTTAAGCGATCTATTATAGTGGATGAGCATCGGTTCCTGTCATCATGGCGTGCTTATCGTGATGCTTATCGTTCGGATGCATGATTACCACACAGACTAACCGCACAACCCTTGCGACCAGGCCCATCACTGATACTCTTATGGTCACAGTTCTACAGACCTGATATAGGACTCTGGCAAGCATAGAAACAAAGTACATGTTATTGCGGTGTTTACCAACATTCAAACGGCAACTATCCTCGTCCTACCGCTATAGATAATTATGTTGAAGAATCCGGACTAATCCCATACACGTGTTCTGACTGGCGTGCTCCCTGGGGCCGTCAGCTTGCATTTCTAATATATTTGATCGGATTTCAAATCACCAACCGACCGATGACGCGAGGCAGGGCATGTAGCTCAGCAGTAGACTTAAATATCGACCATGCGTCTTCTCACACATGGCTTTTCAGACCATTAATGCTACGTTCTCGCCTTCAGCTAGCTGTATTGAGCCCGCAGCGTCAAATCTCTACCTTTTTATACATTACCTACCCGCAATTGAACCATGTCCCAATCTAAACCCTCTATCATCATTGTCCCCGGCTCGTTCAGCCTCCCGGAGTTCTATGACGCAGTTGTTGATGGAGTAGCATCCAAAGGCTACGAGATCAAGGCCATTCGTCTCCGCAGCACCGAGGAGCTCCAACCACCCGCAACTATGTACGACGATGCGGCCGCGATTGCCCAAGAAGTCGCGACACTGGTCGAGCAGGGCAAGGAGGTCATCTTGGTGGCTCACTCGTATGGTGGGGTGCCTGCAAGTGAGAGCATTAAGGGACTAGCCAAGACAGAGGGCTCTGGGAAGATCGGCGGGGTCGTGAAGCTGGCGTATCTCACGGCGCTGGTGCCACAATTGGGTGCTTCCGCGACGGATGTGTTGGCTGATTCTCCGGCCGAGAATCGTGTCGAATTAAAGGTCGATGTTTGTCTCTCCCTCCCCCTGTTACTCCATCTATTCTCATTTTGGCTATTGGGGTACTCTTTTTCATAGCCGATGATTATTAATGGATTTCTTAGGAAGATGGATACATGTCTTTCGTTGATGCCGCCGCGGCCGCTGCACTATCCTACTCGGACCTTCCAGCTGTGGAAGGCGAAGCGTGGATGGAGCGGTATGCTCGACACTCGGCTGTCAGCTTCACGAATCCATTGACGTATGCTGGGTATAAGGACGTATCTGTTGCGTACCTGCTCTGCGAGGATGATAAGGTGATTCCACCTCAGGTGCAGCAGAAGGAGATCGAGATAATCGAGAAAGAGACTGGTAGGGAGGTTGATGTCACGGCGATTCAAACGGGCCATATTCCTATTGCTAGTGCACCTGAGAAGGTGGTAGACTGGATTGCAAGCCTGGCGACCCAGCATGAGAAGGTTGAATAGATGCTGTATGACTAATAGAGAATTAAGATAAGATCGAATATGCGTGGCCCAGAGTACATCATTGCTCGTATATCTTCAGTAGAAATAGGGTTCCAAAATAGAAGCCGTGCTCAAAGGGTATGTTCTGTACCTCAATATCTTGGTTGACCGACATCATCTCAACTGAATGGGGAGTTTTTTTCTGCCATGTTCAACAATATTTACTTCTATTTCTCTATTAATAGACGAAGAGTGGTGTTTGCCGAGAGAGCGTGAACGGTTCACCAACTGCTTAATGTATGATATTTTCAAATTCGAGTGACTTACGTATTAATTATGCAAAGCCAAGAGGATATCGACATACATATACTTACTATTCTGCAACTGTAAGATACTAAGAGAAAGAAACATGATAAAAACAGGCTATGATATAGTGGCTTAAAGATTGAGTCTGAAAAGTCTCTCCACTAAACCGAGTTGGAATTGTCAGCACAAGACCAAACACCCGAACCACCATTACTCTTAAAAGAGTCCATGATCCCAACGACGGAGCCATATGTGCCAGCGACCATCAAAAATGTGCCGCAGACGATAACGAAGACGCTCCAGCATACGCCCAGGGTCCATCGATGCGATCGCTGCTCTCTGCCCCGGCTCCAATTATCATACAACCACATGCAACCACTCGGCTGAAAGCCTTGTAACGTGCCAAGCAAGGCTCCAATAAACGAGATAAGGCTATCGAAATTGGGGATTGCACTTGCAATGATATACGCGACGAGAGCAACACCGAGAACGCAGCCCAGCCAGGTGCCCCAGTGCACAAGCGTATTGGCGACAAGGTGTCTCGACCCTCGTAGCATTCGGACGAAGAAGTGCTTGCTTGCAATCTGTCCAGGTGTCAGACATCATTCAAATTTGGAGGGGCCCGGGGTGATATTTCCTTACATGCGTGCAGATAGTCGCACTCGCAAACAGTCCCGGAAGAGAAATACCGTAGGCAATCTGTTTGATTAGCTTTCCCGCGGAACCAAGCGCAGGCGATGCGACATAGGAACCGCAATAGTAGTACACGACGGTCCCAATTGTCACGTAGGTAACTGTGACAACAACTTGACACGCTGCCAAAGCCTTTGTATAGTGGCGAGGCTCGCGCATCTCGGCTACGATCGGAAAGAAAAAGGGCACGCCGGCGTAGGCAAAGATCAGTGTACAGATTGCCGATATTCCGTCCGTGAAACTGGGGTTATTGACAATCTTATAGTCGGAAACCCAAGGGCCTGGCGGTGCCGAATGGGGACGGTCCTCTACGCCGACCCCAATGGTAACGGTGAAGACTAAAAGTGTTAGGAATAATGTAGTAGATCATGAGATGCAAAGCATGGCACTTACTGGCAATGAGAATGCATGCCAGCCCACCCCACGCGAGAATAGTTACACGGCTCAGAGTCCGGATAATTGCAAGACAAAACACCCCAATGGCGGCAACAGCAACGAAAATAGCGGTGCAAGTTCCATGGGTTGAGATCGCATTCAGAGCGATGGAGATCCCAAGTATACCGGAAGCAGCAACAAAAGTTAGGTCCATAAACAGAATCCGTTAGCATTATCATGGCAATTTCCACAGGCGGTTAACTCACAGAGGATAAATCCAACCCCAAGAACCTCACGTCCAACTGGGCCAAACATGAGCCCAGCCGCATCGTCGATACCATACACTTCACGATGGTTGAGCTTAAAGCTGCCGACCATATAACTACACCAGCAGTTGATAATGGCTATGGCGACCAGACAAAGCACTCCAGGGACCAGGCCCAATGTATCAAATGCAGCTGGGATAGACAGTACACCCAAACCGATCTGGGTTTTCATCATAAGAACTGACGTTCCTACCCATCCTAGCTAAGAATTATTAGTCTCATTGGAGAACAAGAAGTTGTCAGGCACAAGTGTACATTTCGATAATTAGGACCATCGCCTTCAATAACCCCGAATACGGCATCGTCGGTCACAGCTGATTTGAGATCCCCTTCGCCAACCTGGGAAGGCATATTGACTGGAATTTCGGGATCTTCCTTCTTCCCGTGTATACTACCCATGATTTCGACAACCTTTAATGAGATAAAAAGCGACGTAAAGTAGACAGGTTGGAACAATATTTTGTGTTTCCTTTGTCATATTGAACTCTCTTCTCTCCGCCAACCCCAGCTTCCCCACGGTGGATATTCAGGATTAGATATTTTCATCATGTAAAAGAAATCAATTACTGATAAGCTGGACCATTTTACAAGCCTAGGAAATCACCCGTGTAGTAGTGGAGAAAATTCATAAACAAATGCCGATTTCAACGATCGTACGTTCCGTGATCGGACCGGAGGTCGATGCCGGAGGCCCCATTCAGAGCGATATAGGGCTCAGCGGAGCACGGGGCACCGGTCTGAATTAGGGTTAGCGCAGATATGTCAATCTGCCTGCCAAAATAGACATCGGTACCGGCATAACAAGTCGTAGAAGCGAATTCAAAGGGCCGTGAAATCTGTTGCCAACGGCAGGTAAGTGACCTGTATCTGGATGAAGCCCTGTAGCGATCTTTCTAACTTGGAAAGTCGACAATGCGCGGTGATTGAATTGATCGATGTGCCTGAAGCCGTGGTCGATCGTCATTGGTATGAATGCCTCTGCGTGTGCTTCGGGGTAATACCTCTTACCATCATATGGTTCGTATTCTCACACTCCATACCGCATATCGACCAGATTCGTAACAGTTCTACTGCCTACCGACCAGGACGGCGGTACGCGTTGCCCTATACTCTTCGGGTAGACCCGCAAAGCGGCCCTATCGATTTCAATTTGCACCATTTTCCTGTACCCCTTGTTTATTGACCTTGGGACTACAGGCGTCAGGGTTGATGTAACAAATGCCATCAAAAGGCAGAACAGTGCTTTGTACGTTCGGGAAGCGCTTGAGCTGCATGATGGCGTCGTTGAATGCTTCGGTCAGAATGTAATCCACATCCTCGTATATATTGTACGGTTAGTTCTCTTGTCTGAGACTCTTGAAAGGCTGTGGGGGGTAGTCAACATACAACGCTTTGGTAGCACGTATTGATATAAAATTTCCTTACCAGCATCTTCAGTGTGGCATCGCCTGAGATGTTGTGAACTCGTTCATAGCTTTCTTCGCCGGGAAACAGGCGCACAGCGCGGAGGACTTCCTGTGAGGCGAGTTGCGCCTGCCTGCGACATGTCTGGCACAGTTATTTTAAAGTCGATTGATCGACGCGTGAGATGACTTGCGCGAGAAGTTCAAGGGGTAGATGAAAGAGGTTGTCATGGTGAAGTCGCAGGTAGGACGACGCCAATGATAAGGTGATGCTGGAAAGTAGAATGTGGAGCCGTCTGGCTTTAGCGTATGTAAAATGGTCTTTTAGCTCTTGGCACTGTTTTAAGTCTTTTTGTTTTGTTTTTCGCGTGCAAAACTTCGAAAGATGGCCAGTTTTTAATTGCCTACTCCGAAGTACAACTCCACCAATGTTTATTGTATCAGTCTTGAATTCAAGATGCAGGAGAAGAATGGCTTGAAGAACCTATGCTTTAATAGAGAATCAACAATTCTGATCTCTACAACTAAATCAAAGCAAACCTAATTGATTGTAGACTTTTTACACCTTTAGGCTTCGATAGTACTGATTCTAGAACTTCTATCACAGATTGATATGCCCATCACTCCTCAGAACCTGCGTGGTACGACTACTAAATTAGTGACAAAGAGGTTAGTGGCGTCGGTAGTATTTTGTTCTTTTCTATTTGTTGTTCCATGCACGAGATTTGTAGTCAATGTCTTCTTCATGGTGCTTATTAAATGCCATCGATTAATACGTTATTTTTAGCAAGTTCGGACATCCCTGTTCTAACCGAGAGAACGCTTAGACTGGCTAATCTTTTGGATGATTTTGACAATGAGCGAACTACGTTCTAGCTCTAAGTCCAATGAGAGGACATAGTGCCAAACCACATCGATACTTTTCTTGACAGCTAAAATCAATGCTGGAGACAGAAAGGTTTCCATGCACTATGATAGACTCCAGAAACAGAATTTGATAACGGCAGTTCGCTGATCTTTACTCTAAGTTTCGCTGTTCTACTTATCAGAATCCCGTTCATTAGTGTTGGTAATATAGACCGGGGTAGCTTCCCAGATCCTCCTGCAATCGCCCATTCTATAGCTATGTATTCAACCCCTTTGAGTATTTTGGATTTCATACCCACCTCCCAACAATCCCGTCCGCAAGCGACTCTTCCAAAGAAGTCCACCCCTTGCCAAAGAAAGCCTTTAGCAACTCCTCCGCCCGACTCGCCGGAACAACCTCACTCAAATCTCTGGTGTGACCCAACGGACCCGGAATCTTGTCGTTATAGGGCCGCAGCCTCTGCAGGATAGTGAGGACATCATCCCACACGAACGGCTGTGCGAAGCCAAACAGACGCTGGGATTGCACGTTTGGATCGAGGAGGCCGATGACGTGCAGTTTCGCCGTGTCCATGACGTTAACGCACCACACTGAATGATTCTGTTAACTAATTTATCCATGAATAGGGGCATTGATCGACAGATGCCTTACGCGCAGGTAGGTTGAATATGGCTGGATCGCCATCAAGTAGGTTGGCCGTTTGGCCCATTGACGAGCCGTGGATCTGAGGATGGAGTATTGTGCCAAACTACCAGTGAACAAGAGATAACAGGTTAGATCAACATGAGCCCTCATCGGCGGGCAAAACAAAACATACGTTCGTACCCGTCACAACAGTATTGAACTTGAAACTTGGGCTATGCTCAGCCATCCATTTCCAAGCCGCCCGCTCACCCTCGGTCTTGGATGCAGCATACACGGCCACGGGCCTTTGGGCTTGGGGTGTCTTCTCATCCCAGGCTGCTGCAATGGCGGCGTCATTCCATGAATCTATACATAGTCACATTAGCGTTGAGTTAAGTATGGTATGCTCCACTTACTCTCGTCAATGACAGTCCCCTCCACGTTTGACCGGGTAGTATAGCACGCCGACGAAGAAGATGTCAAAACCACCCGTTTCACAGTCTTAACACGTCCAGCAGCCTCGAGAACTCTCAACGTGGCAGATACAACTACGGGGATGACTTCGTTCGGTTTAGGATTCATTGGTATTTCTGATGCCTGCACACAGTCACCCATGCCTCCAATACACAACGCAGTTGAACAAGATGACACAAAATAAGGTATACTATACATACCACATGAGCCACCCCCTCAACACCCTGAAATGCCTTCTCAAGCTCATCGACATCGTCTAATCTCGGCACGACCACACTCTCATACCTCCCGTCCCCATACTTCGATGCAAAGAGTTCATCCAGCCAGGGTTTCGGCGCTCGCACCGTGCCTCGGACTTTGTAGCCCAGTTCAAGGAGCGTGTTTACGACCGTCGAGCCAACGTAGCCGTTTGCGCCGGTGACAAGCATCCAGGCATCTTTCGGGATGACGACTTGGGTTGGGGTTGACATTGTAGGTTAGTATGGCGAATGAAACTCTATGGTCGGTAAGGCCGACTGTTTGGATGCGGTTGATATAACGAGAAGAGGCAGACCAAGGTCAGGTTTATCAAGCCCTCTTAAGGAAAAGATGAATGCAGCATATTACAAATGCGATCTCCATATCTTGCCCTGATTGGGCGAACATGGCCTAACTTGGCGTCGCCGGATGCATCATCGATAGGCCCGTTTACAGCGGACTAAATCGAAGTTTCCGGACAACGTAACATTAAATATTAGCCGAAACCATGGCGTTTCATATAAAGCCACGGGGAATTGTTATTTGGACCTCACGTTAAGTCTATATAGGAGGACATAATACTATATATTGGCAATACTACTAGTTAAGCAGGACTATTCTGGAATAGAAATAGAGAATTTCATCTCCTTTCCCTCTCCTCTATTGGGCCCTCTATCTAAGAGTATCTGAATAGTAAAGTCAGAGTCTATATCTATCATCTTTTTTACAATGTATAGTAACTGCCCCAGTCTCTATTTATCTAATATAGAGAGATCCTTAGCTATAAAGTAGTATATTGTTAATAGTAGAAATAATTATGAAAGAATATCTATTTTAATTATTTTTTTAATAATATACGAATCTATGTTCTTTTATATAGAATATTATATAAGCTGTATTTGAAAGGACTTTACTAGTGTGTTTTTTAATCACATTGCAAAGCAGGTGCATCAGTCACACCGCCACTCTATATCATTCCGATGATCGCTGATCACTTGTCTGATTGTTCTAAGCTATGGCGAGAGGCTGGCTAATATACGTAGAGCCTATGGTCATGTGATAGGTATAGGTAGGTCACCCCACTACAATATGACTCGCCTAACTTCCCTATTGTAAGAGATAAGGCCAGGGCTCCCTATTCCACAAGACCAAAAGGCCATATAATTCGGGATCAACGATCCCGAGTACCCTGGAGTCACCTAAATAGTATACCGCCGTTACACCTATATATACTTAACGTGAGGTCCAAATAACAATTCCCAAGCCACGACTACTACACACTTCTAAATCTATTTATCACCAGCAAGCAATATAGGGGACTGCTCAATCGAATCTGTGTTCTGATTGGTCTACAGTTCTAGATTCTGATTGGACGAGAATTCACCAGTGACATCATTCCTGTTTTGTCTTATAGAATTATCTCCAGCCAATTTCTAGAGCTTCTGAATCGCCTGCGTGGCCTAGATCTCTAGGGCTTTTGAACACGGTGCAATACCTAGATTTCTAATGGATAGGTAATCTATTTAAATAATCTTAATAATTTAGATAATGTAATAAAAGATTATCTGATTCTTTCGCTGCGCAAGTATTCTGCCAGTTCCTTGAGCTGGCAGCCTCTAGTATTTTAGATTGTCAGGGACTTCGATTTAGTCCGCTGTAGTTACACCTATCCTTGCACAGTAATGACAGAATTCCGAGACAGGTTATCTAAGATGAGCAACATTACAAATGCTGCATGGTAAATAAGGTTCGAAACCCTCCGCGCCTATCCCTGCCAAGCCTGCGCGCGTCTACTCTCCCTGGCATGGAAAGCTGGAAGTTGCACCGAAGTATCCCCGGCCTGAAATATACAAATGGATTGCACTTCCTTCGTTAATCTGTTTTCTTACTCACCATACTTAGCTCATTCATTTACAGAGATGCCTTTTATGCCTCGCGTCCTCCTTCTCGGGGCCACCGGTGAAACAGGGAGCTCCATTCTAGATGGCCTGCTGGAATCTAACAAATATGTGCGTTATAGTGGTCCATTTCCCGCATGCTCTGTGTAACTCATATCGCCGCAGGAAGTGGAGATTTTGGTCAGAGCCAGCTCCGTTGGAAAGAAAGCTGTCATGGACATCCAAGATCGCGGTGTTAAGGTCCGCGTGGCAGATCTCACTGCATCTGAAGATGAACTGGCCTTGGTCTTATCCGGCATTGACATACTCGTCAGTGCTATAGCGGCGCAAGATCAAGCAGCGCAAAAGAATCTTATGAGAGCTGCCAAGATGGCGGGGATTCAACGTGTTATCCCCTGTGCATATGCCACTATTGCTCCTCCACAGGGTGTAATGCTTTTTCGTGATGAGGTACTGTCTATCTGCCCACATCCAGAGGAGATACATAGTCTACCAAATCCGCCAAGTCACTAACGCATGATAACCAAAAATGCCAGAAGGAGGAAGTCTACAATGAGATTAAAAGACTAGCATTGCCATACACGATTATTGACGTTGGTTTCTGGCACCAGCTCTCCTTTCCCCGTGTCCCTTCCGGACGGGCCGATTATGCCGTCCTGCTGCAGGATTCGACCACTATCCATGGAGATGGGGAGGCGCCCAACATCCTCTCTGATCTCCGCGACGTCGGCCGATATGTTGCACGCATTATCGCTGATGATAGAACGCTAAACAGACATGTTTATGGATGGAGTGATATCCTGACTGAGACCGAAATCTTTGGGATTGTTGAAGAGCTTTCGGGCGAGGTAATTGAGAGGGAATACGTACGTGGCTCGCACCTCTTTGCCTACTGATCTAAGGTAGACGAGTAGCTAAAACGCTCGATGTCTAGATATCGTCCCAGCAGCTTGAAGCAGATCTAAAGCGAGCCAGTGCTGAACATGCCAAGAATCTAGAAGACCCTGCAAAGCGGTTGGGGTTCTATATCTTACAGACCCTATACAGCAAGTATGTACGCCGAGACAATCAGCCTTCGTATGCAAAGTACCTTGGATATTTGGATGCAAGGGAGCTTTACCCAGATTTTGTGCCGATTTCCTTCCGTGATTTCTTTGCAGAAGTGCTTGCAGCGGAGGCGAAGCGGCCGTATGCCCATTTGACAGTCCCTAAAACCCTTGAACATTAAGTAACAGGACCGGAAAAGATCTCTCCAGATGGTGTGGGACTAGATATTTGAGCCGTAGAGGTGTGCTGGAATGCATCTGATTTACTTCAATTTCGAAGAAGTGTCGATTATATTAATTAACTCCTCCATTAATAACCAAAGTGTTGCTAACTAGTTACCAGAGAACACGACCCAGTAGTTCAGTTGGTGATCCATGTAATGTTATAGTCGCATGGGGGGCTTAATCGGCTCTGTTAAGTTACGGAATATTGTCCGTGCCCGTTTTAGGTCATTAAATCAACTTTAATTTCAACTTGCCCCGTACTCGAACCTTCTACTCTAATATACCTTATCCTACATCCATACTGCGCTCTGGTGGCCTAGGTAGCCACCAACGACATCTGCTGGCCATAACTGATGCCACTTAACTTTTCTGCAAGCATGGACTCAGTTAGTCAGCCATCGTCGCAGCGGAACCTTCGCCAATCGTGCGACAAGTGCCGTATGTCACCCAGTACATTAGTGCTGACCTATCAATTGTTGCCGTGGATAATGCTGAATTATAATCTTCAAGGCACTCGGAAGCAGACATGCACGAAGGAGCCAGGTGGCTGCTCACGCTGCAGAAGCTTGGGTATCCCATGTCGCTACTCTGCTCGGAAGCCCACGGGTCGCCCCCGAAAGGAAATATCTCGTGTTCTGAGGCAGCCCAAAATGTCAAATAGCGGCGCATCTCGTTTTGCAGTGGGCGATATGGGCATCCTGCAAACCGACACACACTTAGATACACCTGCCAGCATGCAATTGTTGGATGGGCATATTACACCCCACGGCGCGGTTCACATTCCCAGTTTTTGGGAAGCCGGAACACCCACTATGACATTCTCCGAAGACATGAATAGCTGCAGCTGCCTTCCTCATGTATACTATTTTACTAGGGTACTTCATGCTCTGACAAACGAGGCGGTGCCGAGTTTCAAGATCGTCCGTAGTGCTGTTCGAACGGTTCATGATGCTCTTAAGTGCATCGCCTGCTCTCGCTCAATGATAGTCTCTCAAGATCCTACAGAGAAACTGCGGGCTCTTTGCACCCTCCTGTCGTTGATCCCTGGTTTCTATCATCAACTGTTGCAAATGGTAGACTGTGAAGCATCTCTTGCAGTGGTTGAAAACCGCCGACTCGCGTTCAGACTCGAGGAAAGCGGTGGTTTATGGGGCGATCTTGCAAGAGACGGAGCATGTCCGGACGTCAAGAGGCTCAAGGACCACCCCCTTGATCCAGAGCTTTGGCGACAAACGATGCGCGCGCTCTTAAGGACCGACGTGTACGGCCTTAATATGCACATTTATTCTGGGGAATCTGGAAGGCTGGCAAGGCAGGGCCGGCACTCAGGTCTCAACGACATGGTTGAGATGCTAGATGAACTTGCGACAAGGGGACCATTCAGTCATATGAATGGGTGGCTTCATCCTGAATCGACTGGGATTCCCACTTGTATGAACTGGATAGAAACCGCGAAGCAAAGTGTTAGCGGCCTCATAATAGGTTAATTGTGATCACTCTTGTGCACAAAGTGTTTACAATTTGCCTGTCTGCTAGTCTGTGGACAACTGAATCATTGCGCCGTTGAGATGAGAATGCTCATTTAATTATGACTCCTAGCATATCTTCCCCAATTTACCTTGATCCACATAATATATCAGATGAATGACAATTTCACAAATGGCTTTCCCCAGTGGTTCATTCAGTGTCAGTCCCATATTGTTCTCTGTGTCCCCACGCGCAAGGAATAATCGAACCCGTGTCATACTTCGGTATAAGGAACGACTAAGACTAGACACCTATACAGACGTAGTAATCCACCCACAGATTAGAGCAGGCAGCATCGATCATCGTGTTCCACGAGCGGAACTGAGCGAAGGTGATGCCCGCAGCAGTGTCGATAGAGTAACAGTCGTCACCGGCCTTGACTAGGTAGAACTTCTTACAGTTGTCCACAATGCCAGGCATACGAGGCTCGGGAGGAGTGTCCGTAGGTCCGGGTGGCTTGCTCGTAGTAGTAATTGTTGTTGTGGTATCCGGGACGTGGACACAAACATAATAGTCTAGCCAGAGATTGGTGCATGCTACCATGGGTGGGATACGGAGTCAGCCATAGCAACCCGTGTGCTGGATAGGAAAGCTTACCGGGGTTAATACTGGGATTCCAGGCTTTAAATTGGGCGTCAGTAATGCCGTACTTGGCTTCAATGGTATCGCACTGATCCCCAGGCCCGACAAGATGGAACTTGTCACAGTTAGATGGTATACCCGGCTGGGTCGGCTCGTGTTTTTCTGAGGATGTGGTAGTTGTGGCGAACGTCGTTGCAACACTGGCATACAGTACCTGTGGGAGCAATCCCAGGACAATAGCGGCCTTGAAAAACATGTTATTAGTTGGGGTAATTGGTTCGTGGAAGGAAGAGTAGGGGAATTGAAAATAGGGGTTGTTCTGTTAATGAAAACTGTTTCAACGGCGTGGCTAGCCCGCTCTTATACCTATCCCTTCACGTGCCCCTGCATTATTTATAGCAGTAATGAGTAACGTAGTAATGATCAGACCAAACCGACGGCTACTCGAGCATTCCACCATATTCCGGGTATACCTCAGTGCGACCAAGCTGGACAGATGTCTCACTTGAGTACCAGGATCCCCGCTCCGTGTATACGAGGTATGTCGCTGCCGGATGGAAATGTGTTCTACAGCGGTCCCCACCCGGTAGTAACAATGCCTTTCACTCGCCCAAATGCCTCTGACTGACATGCGGGGTTGGGGTTACATGAAGACAATCTACCGCAGCCACATCCGTGTGCAAATCCGGCCCTGCAGCCGGATCAGCCGGGGCTTTAATGATTGGAGGGCAGACGGCTTCCGGCATAGTGACATCGCGTCGCCCCTCGCTGGTGCCAAGAACGGCTAATCATGCGCCAAGTTGCAGGTAGGAGGTGAAGAGTTACATACAAACGTCCGTGATGGTAACTTGCATCTGCGTACTGCTGGTTGATTGGTGCACAGAGGACGAGCGTCGCTTAGTTACGAGCCCCAACAGGAACTAGAATGGGATCGCACGGAGATGATAGCGTCGAGCAATTCGAGTTGTCTCAGTAACCATGCTCCCTGTACTGGTGGTACTTGCGCCGCTGAGGCTGCATGGTCGAGGGGTGGGCTGATCCTGGGACACGGCCAAGCGCATACACTAGTGGTCCTGCCCACCGAAAGAACCTCCGCAGTTCATAGGTTGATCTTCACCTCGCAGGGATTCGGAGTAGTGCTGGGGACGAAATCACTGCATAAGAGAAGCCGAGACATGCAGAAAATCTGAGACATTGAACACCCAAGTGCGCGGCTGATGGAACATGTTGTCCTCCATCGCAGCCAGAAAACCAGGCGTCCAAATGCCATACTTGGTAAGAAAGTAAGCAGAAGCGGGGTTAACCGTAGCTCCCAATTATCACCGCATTGTCTAGTATCTGAGGGTCCAAGTAAACTGTAGGGATGTCCCAATGTTCAGCCGCGTGGTGTTCATATGCAGGTAATACGGGTCGCTACGTGTCCAGTTAATGTCTCACAGATGCACCATGGCCATGGGATTTAAGCCTGATAAACAGGGACGGTTTATTGCTCCGTGCGCCGAATTGGGTTGGGATCGATGTTCCGCGTGAGGCTCAGGTTCTAAATTGCAAAGACGATGGTCATATCCTGCAACGGCGAGTAGGTATCAGGGCGCGGAAAGATCAATTCCACTTCCATGACCCCTACAGTGTTGGACAAATAACGTCGTGCGAGAGGCCCAGAATAACCATGGTTTCAGGGAGTCCATTAGGATAGGTGGCCGTGAGGGGCTTTAAAGGGAGACAAGTCGATGGAGATGCAAAACCCCCTTTTCTTTTTTCTTTTGTTTTTTTATATTTAGTGACTTGGTCTGGGCCCCGGGGTGTGGTGGCAGAAGGCTTGAATACCACTGCAGAAACCGGTACATTGTAAATGCAGCTAATAAGACCCCAAGAGCTCAGTTCCGAGTATGGCAACACCTGCCGCAGTATTACAACTTAACCTCAAGAAATACAATAAATTCGCTGAAACACAAGGCTACCAGGGTGTGTGATGTACTCTAACGAGACCCAAACGCAGCCCTAAATCATCTGCGGGGCAGTGCCTACCAGGGGTTATCGTGAGATGATCGTCTACTGCAAGTCAAGATTTATTCGCACTCGAGGTGCTGCAAGGGGCGTTGAGGCCCCAAAAGTTGCCATAGAAGTAAAGTGAGAGGAAGTATTCGTGTAAACATAGGGTTGCCCGCCGACTGCTGAAATAGGGAATAGTACACAAGCCATGAGAAGCCCCCGATGGTGGACTAGGAAACACCCTTTCGCTGTTTTAATTTCCTATCTTTTCGTTCTTAATTTAACACCCAACTCTTGAACTAGTATCTTCGGGCTGAACCCCTTCTCGCGGAATCCATATTGCGATAGTTGAGGTCAGGTTTGGTTTTCCTTCCTTACCTCACAAACACAGATCATGTAGTCGTCCCAAGAAAATTACATAAGGGTTATGCTACTGAGAAGTCCTATCTCGAAACTGACGCTGAAGTGCAAGGATCCACAAAAATATGCTAGTAGTTGCATGTCTAATTGTGACCCTGCAATATTCATTGAACTAGGTTCTGGCGATGCTGTGTTAATTCGAACTTATGGTAGTTGGTGCTGATAATGATGTGGATTATGTATCTAGCTTTAATGTTGATGAGATAAATATCAGTTTCCTTGAGATACTCTTCTTGACTCTCAATCTCTCTGTATGGGACTTAGACAACATAGCATAAAGCGTGGGATGGTCAACAATGGGTTTGTTTTGAGGCCGTAGAAATCATCTTGTTTTGTGTTCTTCCTTCATCACGATTACAAGAGAAAAGTGGCCCTTCTTCTAGTCCTCGGCATTCTACGCAGGCCTTGACACTATCTGTCCTCATAGACGCTAACCAGATTAATCCAAGTTCTTGATCCTTATGCCCGTGGGACACAAGTTGGAACATAATCCTAACTATGTAGTATCGACGACTATTTGATACAGAGTCAAAATTGTACATATATTTGCGAAATAAACTCACTTTTCTATCAGGACTAGAACATATAACATGCTGGGTTGAACTTATTGCAGAAAAAATCATAGAAAAGCCGAAAGATCGAATGGCAATCTGGTGTCTCTTAACATCCGTTACGACAGCAGATACCATATATTGCAACGGTTCGAGTAGTCCTCTCATAACCTTGAATGAAGATATGTCAACAAACACAAAACAGGAAAAAAGTAAGGGAGAAAACATTGTCGCGAACAAGTTTGGGACTCTTCATGATAATGGCCTGTTTTCCCCGAAAGCCCCCTACAGCAGGCTTGCGATGCCACCACAAACACCCACGCTCTCATAGCCTGGAGCTCTGGAATAATGGATAGTAAAAGTCAGCCGTTCGACCGTCCTTCACAAGCCCAACATACTCTGTTGTTTGGAACACGCGCTCTGACTAGTCTCTAGTGACATCATTGGCCATTTGATCCTGCTTATCTTTGGTAGCTGCTGACCTATCGTGTAGTAAAAGATATCTTAAATCCTTCGTGGCCACATCTGGTACGCCCGCTCAAATCCGAGGAATCGACAGCGAGGGTTTCATTGCGGCCTCTAGCATGAAGCACTGTTCCTCTATTGTTATAAAGGATAATGGTTTGTCCGATGAACCCCGTTGACCCCTGCAACACCCCCCCAATATGATGCTCTCTGTTCTGATGCCCACGATTCCTTTGCACCAGTTCAAATAGTTCAGCAACCCCCCAACTTGATGCAACTGTTCCTGGCGCTCGTAGAATTTTAACGACTGAACTTATATGAGCAGCCTTAATTCCAAATTAATTTGACACCTGCGATAAAGGACCCAAGGTAAGGAGTCTTCAGGACCTAACAACCATCCCTTGTCTCCAGGATGCGGCCTCCATTCCGTACTTTCTAGCTAACCTGACCGATATGATGTTATCTGGCTTCAGAAGTGGTATCAAAATGGCAAGTGAGACAAATATATCACGTCCACTGAAATTAAATCTTCTTTCAATCAGACTTTGGATTGGAAGGCGACTTTTTGGACGAGTGGGATATTCTGCTGTCAGAATTAGCTCACACGGAATTATTAAAGGGCCATGCAAAATTGCAGAGCTTGCAGCATTGAAATATGTCTCCAAGCACACAACCATACGTGTCCCTAAGGTTCTGAACGTCTATCATCACCGTGATGGGCTCTATATTGAATTGGACTATGTCAGTGGAACAGATCTTCAAGCAGCTTGGCTTGGCGGTTATCTTTCACAGGATCAGAAGAGAAACATCATCACCGAGGTTACAGGCTATGTTAACCAGCTTCGGAGTGTGGAACCACCACGTAAAGGGATCGTTGGTTCAGTGGATCTTGAAGCATGTCTTGACCATCGTGTTGGGTCGTCTACGTGTGGTCCATTTAATGAACATGCAGAATTCCACTCTTTGCTTCGGAGCCTATCGAGAACTGCACGCAAGTATTTGGCGAAGAAGTCACTGATTGTCACTCCCGTCATTGTCGAAGTTGCTTTACTCACGCTGACCTCTGTCCCCGAAACAGTTAATCTTGGTCACTACGACGTCTAATTATAGCCTGAATCAGTTGTACCATATCCAACTTCAAAGGTAGGTTTTCTGCCTTAGATAATATGGTCTCGGGCAACGGTTGGCTAGTAATTGATGGTTATTTGCAACAGAGTCAGGACTCTTCATACACTGATCAGCGAAAGCAAATGAATCAGCCATAAATCGATCAATGCCACATTACTCCGCTAAGTCTTTCTCCTGCGACGGTTGGATTGCAGACCATGTCCAGCTGACACAACTTTTCTTCTGTGAAAACCCTCGTACATCCGATGCACTATTGAATTTGCCAGATTATCAAAAAGCCCGTTATCTTTGGCCGCAATTCCACAAAAAGCTTACCCAACACCTTTTCTTCAGTATAGCCTCTTGCATTGTCAAAGAAAATGCAAATTAAAATAATAATATCAATATTAGATCCGGTATCTGTGCTACAACTGTTCCACTGGCATACTATCTTATCTGCTATTACTACCAAGATATTGAGAAAGTAACCCGTCGGAAGCGGAACAGTGACCTGATTATTATCTTGCGTAGTATTCTGTTCGTTTTGTACCCAGTGAACTATGCTTTGTATTATCTTGCGCTCCGCCGCACCCAGCGAGCGGACCAATAAGTCTATAATCTAGTTTGAGTCGAATATGATATCCAGTAATCAGGTTATCCATGCAAGGAGCGATGCATTCCTGTGGGCTGTGGGGCATGCAACCCGGTACGTCTGTGCCCTTAGCAACTCAGCAATGGCATATTGAGTACATTTATACCTTAATAGTAAGAATGGGATAGAAGGAGTAGTGGGTCACTGTTGGGACTACAAATAAAGCCAAACTTCAGAAAGTTCATTGAATGCTTTTTTGGTGAACGCCAATATGCTACCAAGATAGATCAACTCCGGTTGACCCTCCCTTAAGTTCTGTACTTTTGGAATTCATGTAAGATGTGTAATGCTAACTACCCTTGCTACTGGCCGATGTAACGTTCCTAGCTACCGATTTGCTACCAGGAAGCCCTGACTGCCCTGCGTGGGTTAGTAGATTTCGCGCGCACGACTTTGAAAGATAACCAGTTTTTAAACCATTGTAATTCAACCAGTGAATTATGTTTAAGTCTGAATCACATTCAAAGGGTAGCAAGATAAACTGGTCAGTGCACCAACTGTGCCAGGAGCGACTGTGAGTGTGTTTCCGGTCATAGCTATGATCTCAGATTGATTGTATACGCTATAACATGTCATTATAACCAAGGCTCATATCACTCCTATCCCATCTACCTCGACTAACTTTTCACAATTGCGCTTTGTGAACCACAGAATAGGCCATCCCAAGACACTCTCGCGACGTTTGAAGAAAGAAGGTAAGCTCGGCCAAACTCGGGCTTTGTGATAGTCCACTCCCGGTTGCACATGTAGAAAGGCGAGAGATCATTGCTTCCATCAACTCGAGATCGCTTTGAGCTGCCGTACTATTAGGGTTGTCGAGCACACTAGCGAACAAGATATTGAATGCAGCAAAGATGTATAGGGCTACAAGTCTGGTCCTTGTTAGTCCTGTGTATCATGTAGTGGGATTGGAGGATAGAGAAGTTTCATATACCGGATCCCAAACGGCCACCACCTGGGAGGAAGGGCCTTAAATAGAAGGGCAGTCTGGCGGGCGGCGCCTACACACGCCGTCTGAGAGAACTCTGTAGCTCGGCTCCGAGTTGGCGTCTTCGGGGCACGGAAGAATATTTGCGTTTGATGCAATAAAATTACAGTATTGTGATACGCACACAAGAGTGACACAAAAGGAGACTTCAGATTTCCCGGTAGTCTGTTCACAAATTCTATTGAATGGGCAGGGTCAACAGGTAAGACCCGCTGAAAACTTGTTAGCTCTAGTTGCAAGGCCTGTATGATTGAAGACTTTTCATGGGGAAACGTCTGCGAGGCCTCTGCCCTGTAGAGAGACGAATATATCTTGTGTCGGACGATTGATAGACGGCGAAACCAAGTAAAGATATCCATGTCAGAAAGACTGGAAACCTGAGCGATAGACTCATATACCCAGTCTGGGTGGGGGGTGTCCGTGCCAAGATAGGCTGGGGCATTGCTGGGTGGCAGGCCTTGCCACGGACGGTATCTGTGAATATCAGTCAGGCTGGTTCAATGTGATCTCTGGGTAAGACCTGCAGCTCATCCATCGTATAACCAAGAGATAAAATCAGCATTAGTTGCTCTTGTTCTCTGCATGACGATGGCGGGACCACGCAAGTATCATGGATTCCGAATTCAACGCATGAACGAATTGCGATAGACAATATATTCTGATACATGGGCGTGTCAAACCCATTGCATGAAAGAAAAACCTGTTGAGTTAACATAAGCAACCACCGAATCAAGTGAGGACAGGATACTATATCACACGCACTATGCCTATCAGTGCTTGAACAGCCATCAAGTCAGGCCTGCGTAGTAGAAGCTCGGGCACAGTGGCAAGTGCATTTTTGTAGTATACGTTCGACTTGGTTCTAGCCCCACTCTGGTCATGCTGGTGCAGGGATCGGTAGCGATAGCCAATTGCCAACGCTATGTTCAGGCCAGCCCACCATGATGGATCCCGTGGTCGCCTTCGCTCATAGCTGTTATGCAGAAGATCTGTGAAAGTATCAGGGTGGAATAGGGGAAATACGTCTTTAGTATAGGTAAAGAACGTGTTGAGGACTTCAACAGCCTCTCCTTGTGGAGGTAGTGCAGTGAATACCGGCAGTCGACCGTTACTTAGGTTCGTTTTCAGCAGATTCTCTTTTGATGACTGGGAGTCATTAATATTGTCTCGAAGGGGTCCGAGCTGACAACCCATCTCAGACTGTAGCCATTCTTCCCATTGAGCTGGCAAGCAGTATAATGGCGATTTACACGCTGAGAACTATTAGTGGTGGGAAGCAATGAGTTGATAGCGGAATCTCACAGAGCAAGCTAAGCCAGTCGTGGAGAAACGTCCTTGTCCATTGCTTATATGCGATAAACTCATTAACAAGCTCTGCCTCCACCCTGGCTTGGCATCGGATGGTCTCTTTCCGCTGCGGATGGAAGGCATCGTTTAGTCGCACCACCGCAGGCTGCAGTCTCTCGTTATTTTTATACCTGGGGCGACACCTTAGTGATCCTCATGGGCCTGTCTGAGGTGTGGGCCTCCAATTTCTCACCCGATACCAGGACGCCGAGATACACACGGTCGACTCGTCCGAACACAAACCGCACCTCGCCGTTGACAAACAGAACATGTAGCATGGTCGCATGTCCTTTCGCATTTGACTTTCCACCTGCGACAAAGCTCACAGGCCTAAGTCTTTGGGTTAGAGCGTATGACATATTAGCAGGGATGACATACTACTCGTCGTTGGCCTGGTCTTTCTTCGCCGGTAGTGTTTAACGGCTCGCTTGCAATCTGATTCCGCCGCATCAAAGGGTCCATGGTTCAACTTGAGACGGGTTAGATAACAATATCGGCTCTCTGGGATTGTGACGTGAGCGAGTTAGAGAGAAACAAGGCTGAGCATGAAAAACCGAGTTGCCAGTGCATAACTCTCGTGGTCGGCTATGCAGCATTGCCATGTCATAGAGGGAATTGTGCTCGACAACAAGGACCCATCTTTTTGTGGGGACGCCGGAGATCACATCGGGAAGATCTTACCGTAACATTACCATCGTTGCATAAGGAAGTAACGCTAAAATATGCTTGTCCGTATTAAAGGTGGTGAACATGGCCTAGGATGTCCCCACAGATCGATGTCTCGGCAAATCAAATACTCATTCTATATTTACTCGCTTTGTGAACGGGCAACTGAAGGCTGGGCGGTCATTCCTTTTACGATAGTATAACGTAAGCCGTACACACCGAACGTCGGCAGCAGGAAGTTTCTTGGTGTATCACGAAACGCCAACTTTTATCAATTGTATAGTTATAAGATTCTGCTAGAATATATATGCGATCATTTCTAGCTATACAAGAACAAAAAAGATTCACCTGCTGGCATAGCTCGGTTTCACCAAGTTCAAATTTCCAATCTAGTCTAGTATGCCTTGCAAGCTTCTTCCAGCGCCAACAAGCTATCGGCAGTGTCCTTCACAGTCTCCTGCAGCGTGTGAAACGTAATGCCCAGTAGGGTCTTGATTTTGTTACTCGAGACCTTGATGACTGCCGGTTCATATTGCCCAGGCTGGCCAATAGGGACTTTATCCCTGACCTCGGGAAAGACTGATCGAAGAATATCGCAGACTTCTTGGTAGGTGTAGCCTCCAGAGCTAACAATAAAACGTTCTCCTGCTGCCTTCTGAGATTCAAATGCAGAGAGGTGGGCTTGGGCAACGTCACGAACATCCGCAAAGACTGGCAAAATTGTCGAGGGGATCTCCGTGCTGCTACCATTGAATAGCCTATAGATATCATCCGCACTTGTATTCAATTTTGCCATAGTAGGAACGTGATGCTCCACGGGGCCATAGATCATGGGAGGGCAAATTGTGGTCAGGCTGAAGTGAGGCATGTTTGTTTCCATATATCGCCAGGCAGCTTGCTCCGCAATTGCCTTGGAAGCAGCGTAGGCGACTAAGCCGTTGGCACGTTCAGCCTGTTCAAATGTCATAGGATTCCAATCTTCCTCGGTATATGTATAGTCGGACTGCGGACCTTTTCCGGCGTCTATCACGGCAGCCATCGAAGATGTGATCACGACTCGGTTAATTTGCGGTGCGTACTCCTGGGCTGCCCGAAGAATGGACGTGGTGCCGTTAATAGCAGGCCACAGAAGATCTCGCTTGTTGTCTTGAACTGAAGTCTGGAATGGCGAAGCGGTATGAACGATCTAGATATATGAGGGTTAGAGTCTCCGACCCTTCGGACATCGATGAAAATGCAGGGATACAGGGTCTTACACCATCGACCCCTTTCACGGCTTCATTGAAAGCTCCGGGCTGTGCTATATCCTCAACAATAGCGAATGACAGCCGACCGCTATACTGCGAAAATCCCTTTCGTACGTTCGCTGCAGCCTGGTCCGATCGAACAGTCCCGCGGACATAATAACCCTGCCGAAGAAAAGCCTTCACAACATGAGTTGCGAGGAAGCCCGAGGCCCCAGTGATGAGGATAGTCTTTCTGTGAGTCTCAGTCATGGTGGCAATGCAATTGGGCGTGGATTTGAGCGATTTGTTGGTTGGGGAGAGTCCGAAGACCCCATTGAATTTTGGCAGATAGATACATATACTTCTCCGTTATTGTGAAGCGCTACATTGCCGTCTCTTCCAGTGTAGCACGTTATCCGTGGATACCTCAGCATAACAAGCTATGTCGGTGGACTCAAGCATACAGGAGCATATTGCGGTACCGGAAAGCATAACGTGCGCGGGAAGCGGAACGCCGTCAATCCCGTCAATAAATCTCCACTTAGTTTCAGTCTTACTCTTACTCCTGCGCTACTTCTGAGGAAGGCAAATGATTAGCCATCGAGTGTCCTGCCCACCGTATCTATCTCAAAGTGTTTTGCAACCCCACCAGATAACACCTTATGGAACCAATGCACTCAATACAGTATGCCTATATACTATCGTATCACAGCTGTATGTTCGGGGAAGATGACTGTGTGTCACTGGGTGCCGTGGGTCTTGTCCTTGTTACAATGAGGGAACTGACGCGTGCAAGTCTCACTATGTTTCATTATGCTGGGATAGAAAGCCGTACCGTGTGGAATGTGTTCCTATACTACGACCCCGATATAGTCTCCACCGGTATTTGTCCTCGGCAGACCGGCAGTTATGCAACGGCGTATGTTATCCCAGGATCACAGAAGGCTTGTACACAGTTTTACCATCATAGGAGCGATATGCTTCCACTCCCATATCGGAAGGGATCAACCAAACGGTAGTATATATAATCCCAGGTCAATCAGGGGACGAACATCGCTCGTACAAGATAATCTCATCAACAGTCTCACATTTTACACAAGATCCTAGTTAGCTTCACTTCATATTGTTTTCTATTCCAACACTGTCTCAGTCAGGTAGTCATGGGTTCCACAAACTTCGATCAGCGACTAATGTGCTGCGTTGTCGACGAGTTGGCGGAGAGTAGACCAGAACAGCTCTTCTGCGTACAATCCGTTTCCTCCGATTTATCCCAAGGTTGGCGAAATGTATCCATGAGAGACCTCGCCAGCGCCGTGGATTACACCGCCTGGTGGATTGAGATGGCAATGGGCAAAGGCTCTGGTGGTGAGCCACTGGCTTATATTGGAGCCAATGACATCCGCTATGTGGCTTTCTATTTGGCTTGTATGAAGACTGGCTATACGGTAAATGCTCCTATTAGCCTTTCAGCACCGATGCAAAGCTCTGGCTAATCATCATATAGGCGTTGCTGCCTTCCCCAAGGAATTCAATCGTGGCCACATCGCACGTTCTGGGTGCCACCAAATGTTCGAAGATTGTTTATAGTGCTGAGAGACACAAAATTGCCGAAGACATCAGAGATAATGTACAAGACGTCCGATTGTTCGAGATACCGAGCCTCTGGGAGGTATTCGGTGAACGCACTGCGTCTTATAATTTCAACGCCAATTTCTATGATTTGCGAAACAAACCATGCATTATCATCCATAGTTCGGGGACCACCGGTAAGCCTTCACAGTTACGATGACCTCTGCTTGCTATTGACTAACCCTCCCTCTGCAGGTCTCCCCAAGCCGGTATATCTGACAAACGGATTCTTCAGCGTCATTGACAATTTTCACAGGATGCCAACTCCGCATGGCAGACTGAATAAATCGATCAGCTCGGTAGCGCAAGGCAAACGTCTATTCACCATGGCTCCGATGTTCCATTTAATGGGGCTTGTCATCCTTTCTGGTGCCATTTTCCACAATACACCCGTGGTCCTGAGCCCCGAAAGACCAATGACCCCGCTACTGCTTACTCAAATTCTAGAGACTGCCCGTCCGGACGCAGCCATGCTCACACCATCGGTCATGCAAGAGTTGTCCGCTTTCGAAGAAGGCTTAAGGGGCTTACAAAACTTCGAAGCAATAATCTTCGGTGGCGCTCCGCTTGCACCAGAGGTGGGCAATAAGCTAAGTGAAAAGGTGGTTCTCCACTCGGTCATTGGTTCCAGTGAAGCTGGTTTCATGCCAGCCTTGATTTGTACGCACCGTGAAGATTGGGAGTACTTTGAGTGGAACCCATATAGTGGTATACACATGGAGTCGATTGATGACGGCGTGTTTGAGGCTGTCATACGGAAGGGCGAACATCATGAGTTCTCCAGTATATTCCATACCTATCCTGATATCACTGAATATCGAACAAAAGATCTATACACGCGACATCCGACTAGATCAGGGCTGTGGAAATATCACGGTCGCCTTGACGACGTTATTGTGCTCAGCAACGGCGAGAAGTTCAACCCTATCGACATGGAGAATATCGTGGAGGGCCATTCCTTGGTTTCAAAGGCCGTCGTTGTTGGTCAAGGGCGATTCCAATCTGCGTTGCTCGTACAGCCAAACTGGGAGCAATGGAGTGAGGATCAAGACAAGGAGGACTTTATCCAGAAGATATGGCCTACTGTTGAGAGAGCGAATGCCATTGCTCCCGGTCATGCCCGTATCTTGCGCACAAAGGTCGCCCTAGCTAAGAAAGATACACCTTTCGCGCTAACCCCCAAGGGTACAGTCCAAAGAAGACACATATCCGAAGACTATGAAAGTGAAATTGACGCTTTGTACGCCAACGACGACGAGGAGTGCACTAATGATCTACCACAGAGCACAGACCTTGAAAGTATCAAGCAATATATCCACACAGTGGTGTCGCAGCTACTTTCCGTCGAGCAAATCAGTGATACTAGCGACATATTTTCATTGGGTATGGATTCACTCCAAACCCTGCAACTGAGCAAGATCCTGCAAACTGTTGTCCAGCATCTTGCTGCTGGTCAGCACTCTGAGCCGATCACAAGCCAAAAGTTATACGCCTATCCGACTCCTGATAGGCTGTCACAGTATGTGTACCAGCTGATAAAAGGCCAAACGAAGGAAGTCAATACTGAGGATGAGGAGGCTACCAGACCTGGGAGAATTGCAGGATTAGTCAAAAAGTACACCGATGACTTACCACAGCGAGAAATTACCAGTTTCAGGAGATCTGCAAAACAAGCAGTTATCCTGACCGGTTCCACTGGATCATTGGGCAACTACATACTGAATGAGTTACTCGACGATCCAGAGATCCCCATCATCTACTGTCTCAATCGGGCAGAGGATGCAAGACAACGGCAAATTGACAGCTTCAAGGAAAAAGGCCTTGCAATTCCGCACAACTTTAATAAACGGGTCGAATTCATACATACCCAGTTTGGAGCTCCAAACTTTGGCTTGCCCGTTGGCAAATATAACGAACTCACGGAGTCTGTGGATCTCATTATCCACAATGCGTGGAAGGTCAACTTCAACCACAGGGCTGAGGCATTCGAGGACCCCCATATCCGAGGTGTACGTAACCTGGTGGACTTCAGTCTACGAAGTGCCCATTCGGCACATATCCACTTCATCTCCTCAATCTCTACCGTGAGCGCGTGGGGCCCTCAGCATGGTCCATCTGTTCCCGAAATCCCTCTGGAGGATCCTGATGTCGCATTGCGCCAAGGTTATGGAGAATCGAAGTTTGTCGGCGAGCGCATCTGTGCTCTCGCGTCGACTATTGCAGGCGTACCGACCAGTATCCATCGCGTGGGGCAGATCGGTGGTCCAACGATGGAAAAGGGTCTATGGAATCGACAGGAATGGTTACCTTCTCTGGTTGCGACATCCAAGACACTCGGAAAAGTTCCGAATACCCTTGGTACAATGCCCGTTGATTGGATTCCTATAGTACGTCCCCTTCCCACCGTATTCAATCCTAGCTCCCTCGAGTTTGTCTACTAATGGTACCTATAGGATATTATGGCCAAGATCGTGGTCGATATCACCCGATCTCGACGCGCCACTGAGGATGTCACCAGAGCAGCCGCTTTCCACCTCGTCAACCCTCATACTGCAAGCTGGGAATCACTTATCCCAGCCATCCAAAAGTATTATACCGCTAAGGTAGTCGACATGAATGACTGGATGACTGCCTTGGAGGGGTTTAGCAATCCAACGGATCGCGATTTGCAAGACAAGCCAGCCCTCAAAATCATAGATTTCTATAGGGGATTGGCCGGCAACCATGGTACTTTTACCAGCGTGATGGAGAACGTGAAGACACAAGCAGCTAGTAAGGCAATGCGTGATCTTGGGCCGATTGATGGGGCTATCATGGAGAATTGGATTAAGCAATGGCAATTCTGAGGATTAGGTATTTCGCTGCTAATCTCAATTTGACTGTACGGGGCAAGGGGCCTCGTATGTAGTTGGAAAGCTTTAGTTTGGCAGAAGGCAGTCTTGGGAAGATAGTATACAAATGAAGGTCATAACTGCGACACAATAAGAAGTGAAATAACACAAGTCTCTTTAGATAGAAAAGCAAGACCAAGTATAAAATAATAATAAACATTGACGCTACCGAATCTGGCTAGGTAATTCCCGGTTTATCAAAGTCAGCGAGGAATTTCGCGCGTTCAGTATAGCTCAATGCCTAAGGCTCTTCAGGGGTGCTGAGATTCCGGGCGATTTTCGACGGCCCGAGAGGAGGCAAGAGAAGACCCACCGAACCCCTCATTATAAATAAATGATTGACAAGGACACTGAACCCCTCATCGCACCTCCACGACATAGTACATACCATTCCTAACAATGAGCGAGGTCAATCCCACCAATATCGAGGCGCTCAAGCGCCAGATGCAGTCCCTGTGCAGCGATTCTGACAAGGGGCTCCCTGGTGTTTCCGTCGCTGTAGTCGGACGCGATGGCAAGCAGCTGTTCAGCCATGCTGCGGGGAAACGGGGCCGTGGAAGCCCCGAGCCCATGACTGTGGACTCGGTTTTTTGGATTGCCTCGTGCACAAAGATGATCACTGGCATTGCGTGTATGCAGCTAGTCGAACAGGGAAAGCTTTCTTTGGATGACGCTGACCAAATCCACCGCATCTGTCCTGAATTCAACGATCTCCGAGTGCTCCAAGATGATGGGACCTTGGTGGAGAGAAACAAAGGCATTACTTTGAGAATGCTCTTGACTCATACTTGTCAGTAACCATGGTGTTGTAAACTTGAACCAGAGTACTAATGTTGAAACATTGTAGCCGGGTTTGGTTATACATTTTATAATGAGAAACTGCGGGATTACGGCCGACCCGCTGGTTACGATGAATTCTCGGGATACGCCGAGGAATTCAACCAGCCGCTGG